AGCGCTTTCAAAATTGCGGTAATTGAACATTTTTTTCTTATGATTATCTTCAGAATTAATTTTTCATTTCAAAATAGAAAAAAGAAAAAGAAGATTCATTTATTTTATAATATTTAGATCGACAAATTCGATAGATTATGGGTTCTGGACTCAGGTCTTGTCAATAATCAACCCATGTGCTCTCCAAAATTGGTAACCTTTGATCTGAATACCTCAAAATTGGTTAAGCAAGTCGAGATACCACATAATATTGCCGTAAATGCCACCACAGGAATGGGAGAATTAGTATCACTAGCTGTTCAAGCTATAGATCCTACAAATACTATGGTAAGTTTAAATTAAATGAAAGCAATCAAGTTTCTTTTCTTAGAAATATTTTACTTTTACGTTTGGTTATTTTTCATATAATGGAAATTCTTTATGTGACTTTAATAAAATCTATAACTTTCAAAATAATACTTTGCCAAATAATTCTAATTCTTTGCCAAACAATGTTATATACTGTTTCATTTTTAAAAAATAAAAGAAAAATTGATTTTGTAGCTTTTTTAATACCCTCTTTAGTAAAAAGGTTCATATGATATTAGATTTTCCTAATCACTAATTTTTGAAATATATTAGCAAAAAATATACGTATTTTTCATGTATTTTTCTTTTAATTCGAACCATTTTCACATATTTATATATTTATATAAATTAATAATCATTTCGAAAGAATTGATTTTAAAGGAAAAAAACACTTTCAAAATTAAAAAATTATAATTTCCTTTAAAAAAGCTCATTCACGTGTATGCTGATACGTCTTCAGCATAATTAAAATTTATATATGAAAGTTACAAAATCAAGAAAAAGTTGAAATTTATCGAAAAGTGTTATTAATTACAAAATAATCATATTGTGATAATAATGATATAATAGGTGTACATAGCAGACGAAAAAGGTCAAGGTTTAATCATCTATCAAAATTCCGACGATTCCTTCCATCGATTGACTTCCAATACTTTCGATTACGATCCCAGATATACCAAACTGACAGTCGCTGGAGAAAGTTTCACAGTGCAAAATGGAATTTGTGGAATTGCACTTAGTCCCGTGACGAACAATCTTTATTACAGTCCTCTCGCTTCTCACGCTTTGTATTACGTTAATACAGAACAATTCAGGAAACCACAATATGATAAAGATAACGTGCAATATGAAGGGTAAATATAAAAATAATTTTTTAAATTTTATAAAATAGAATAGTTTACTATTAAATAATTTGTTAATATGTTCGTGAAATTTCTTTAGAGAATTGATTCTAGAATAATATTTCAACTTATTTAACTTATTTATCGTGACCAATATAATTTTAATTATTTTTTAATTTCGACTCCCTCTCCCTATGTATTTAAATTGTTCCCTATAAAATGTTCTCAAGTTAAGAAACACTCTTAAAATAGAACGGAAATAGAACTCTATCACTATCACACTATCACTTCGCTTCAAATTTAAATTCCTTATAATTTAATAAAACAATATTAATATTTGTTATAGAATCGACTCCAGAAACTGTTCCAGTTATGTTCCACAGCATCTTGTACATTTTTGGTTGGTAATTGCATATTCCTTATTAATTTCAGATCCCAAGATATTTTGGACACTCAATCATTCGCTAAAGTAGTATCGAAAGATGGCGTCCTTTTCTACGGACTCGTGGGTAATTCAGGTCTTGGTTGCGTGAATGAGCATCAAGTACTTCAGAGAGAAAGTTTTGTTAGTAATTTTTTAATTTTTCTTTTTTTTCTTACACTTTTCTATCATATTTTCTTACTTTCACTTTCTTCATTTCTTCTATATGTCACTATCATTAATACTAAACGTAACTTTCCGCACGAGAACAAAACATTCAACTGTTAGATTTGCCAGAAATGCGAATCACGTGATATAACGCTTGTTTTTGGTGGGAGATCACGTGACGTATAACAAAGTAGGGATAATATAACACTATTTATTCTTTTCATGCAGAAATTTGGTGTTTAGTGGAAATAATGTAGAAACAAATCTGTTTCTTGATTTATATAAGTACATCTTCTTATAAATTAATAATGTTTTTATTTGATTTTATTTCTTCCTTCCTATTTTCTTTAAATAAATAGCTTGCTACTTAATTTTTTTCATAAAACTATATTTATATTAATATAATATATATTTATATTAATTATCTTTTAATCAGTCAATTGAAATGTATGATTTTGAATTGATTAAAATTGTTCAAATTTTTAGTTAAATTAAGTAAGAGATTTTGATTTGATCAATTCGATAATCAGATTAAAAGTTACTTAATATAAATGTGATTCTTTATTATATAAGAAAGTTATAATATTTAAGTATAATATTTAAAGTTAACAATATTTAAATAATCGAATTTATATAATTTAATTTTTCAGCAATAAATGTTTCTTTAAAAAAAATATAAATAAAAATGTAATTATTTTGAAATTACAGGATGTTGTCGCTCAGAACGAAGAGACACTTCAAATGATCGTTAGTATGAAAATCATACAAAATATCCCACAATTCAGAATTAAGGATCTAAGGAATGAATATATGTTGGCCTTAAGTAACAGAATGCAAAAAATAATAAACAATGATTTTAATTTCAACGAAGTAAATTTCCGAATTTTGGGTGCGAATGTAAATGACTTAATAAGAAACACTCGTTGCGAAAAATCTACTAATCAGAATGATAACACTCAGAATGTTAACAATCAGAATGTTAACAATCAGAATGCTAACAATCAGAATGCTAACAATCAGAATGCTAACAATCAGAATGCTAAGAATCAGAATGCTAACAATCAGAATGCTAACAATCAGAATGATAACAAGCAAAATGGTCACCAGCAGAATGATAACCAACAGAATGATAACAAACAAAATGTTAACAAACAGAATGTTAACAGGCAGAATGGTAATAAGCAAAATGATAACAGAAAGAATGATAACAGGCAGAAAGATAACAGGCAAAATGATAACAGACAGAACGATAACAGGCAAAATGATAACAGGCAAAATGATAACAGACAGAACGATAACAGACAGAATGATAACAGGCAAAATGATAACAGACAGAATGATAACAGGCAAAATGATAACAGACAGAATGATAACAAACAGAATGGTAACAAGCAGAATGGTAACAAGCAAAATGGTAACAGACAAAATGGTAACAAGCAGAATGAAAATAATCGGAATGATAATAATCAAAATGATAATCAAGTTCGTCATTCTTCAAAATCACATTAAATCAATTAATTATCAATTAAAATCAATTAATTAGGATGTAAACCAAATTATTTTTTAAAATATTTTTTCGATGTAAACAAAATTTTTTAAAATCTTTTTACATTATATTATAAATTTATATTATAAATAAAATTAAATAAATATCATTTTCGCATAATAGTTTTCAATTTTATTACCCTACTTTTAAAAATTATATTAATAATATAGAAATTAGCCTTATACTTATATTTCTAACATTATATTTAATATGAATGAGTGAATGAATGTAATGTGTCGTGAAATAACAGATGAAATAACATGTAAAAGTTAAATAAAACAGTTTGAAGAAAATGATTTGTAATGTGGAACATGGAAAAAAATTTTATTATTTAAAATAAAAAATATTTCATCGTTTTAAACAACATTATTCCTAATTATTTATATGAAGATACATTTCATTGATTTCTGAATATTTAATCTGAATTCTCTTTGGCAATTATCCCAGTATTAATATAATAATAATGTATAATAATAATGTATTTTAATAATTGTTAAATAAAAATAGAAAAGAAATATTAAAAAAGAAATATTATTAGAAAATTTTAAATTTTCTTTTATATTATATACTTTAATGATTTATTATTCACGATTGAGATTATTAATCATCAATGAGCAGATATTCTTTCTGCTATTAAAAGTAGCCAAAGTCAAGCATTATATCGTGTCACGTAACATGTCTCTGCTTATAATATACCAATGATAGTGAGAATAATGTGATATTATATATTCTTCTACCATTTAAATTTATCGCAGAGAGAACTGAGCTAGTTTTAATAGAGTAGAGAAAATAAGATATTGAATATAGATAGAAAAAATAATATTTTCAAAATTATAAAGTTTTGATTGGATTAACATTAAATTAAAATTGTATTATATTTTAATATCAAAGAAATGCTTTAACAAAAAAATAAAAATTATTTATAATCTATAAATGATTATTTTTTTTAATCCATGATTTTTACTTGTTATCAAATATTCTAAATTCGAATAATTTAGATCAAGCATTAATATAGAATACGTTAATATAATAAATGATATAATATATAAAACTTAAGACTTAAAAAATTGATTCTTCGGATTAAAATAAATAAAAAATTAGTTATTTATTAAGTCATAAGGAATTTGAATTTTCATTAAATGAAAAGATATAAAACAATCTAGAATAAAACAATCTGTCTTTGTCACACGATCGTTTCATTTTATCTGTAATCCAATTAACATTAAATTATTCATAATATAATAAATAAGCTTCAACACTTTTATATATTGCAATTTTTGTTTTTTTTTATTTTTAAATCGATTCTCCAAAAATATCATTTACATCTCTGTACGACAGATGTATACAATAGACTTTCTTTTATTTTTATTTTTATTTATATTTATTTTTATTATTATTTTATGTTTTATATTATTATTTTATTTATTTATATTTTTATTTTTATATTCGCTGTTATTAAATTATTGTATCTTCAAATATTCTTTCTTTTTTCTTTTTTAATAATTTCTAATTCCTATATGTTAAGTAAAATCATCTATATTTACAATTTTATAAATATTTTTTCATAATTGATCGATATTGAATTGATCAAGAGCATGATTGAATAATAAAAATTTATTATCAATTCGGTTATGAAATCAAAAATTCATTTAAATATAAATTTTTTAATTTTAAAAATTTAAATGCTAAAGGTACGTAAAAATTTATGCATTGAGATTAAATTAACAAATTTTTATCGCCATTTTAAATAAAAATATTTTCGTTATATTAGTTTTACACAATATGAAAAATATAGAAAAAGATTAGAAATGTATATTAATCATTTTTCTGAGATAGTAAACTTGAGATAAGAAACATAGTGATATTAGAATAATCATTAGCAATATAATTATTTATTTATCTATTTTTAAATTTCTTTAATTATTTGTTACTTTTTCTTTTTTACTTTTCAATTAAACGAATTTAATTGAATATTTTTTCAAACATAAAAAGCCATATTTTGATTATTTTTCATGAAAATTAAATATAAGAAAATTAATATTTATATGAGAAATAGTAACAAATATATTAAATCATCGAATCAATTATATTAGCAAATATTTAATGGAAAGAAAAATAAATAAAATTAATATAATTATGAAATTGCAAGATATCATTATAAATGAGATTTTCAAGTTATTAATTTAAATATCAAAGAATCAGTTTTACTAATTTTCATATTTAACTTTATGTGCTGCTTTTAAGTAACAAATATCAAAAAATATCAAATGGCAATTTAATCTCGATAACTTGAACTTCTGAATTTTAAATAATATATATCGATGCATCAATAATTCTCATTATATCAGATCAATCTACAAAAGAAATTATATTTTTGGATTTTTAGATTTGCACCAATTTTTTTTTAAAATTACAATAATTTCTAAATAAATTAAATAAACATAACATTTTTCAATATAATTATTCCAATTTTTTAAAAATTACGCTACATATTTTTTTTAGAATTAATCATTATCTCGATTAACATTTCTCCAGAACTATAGATGAAGCGAGATACAAACAAAAAAAATAATGCGACACAGTAGATAAACAAAATTTTGTAAAATTTCTACTTAAACAATATTTTTTTAAGGAATATAAATTATAACCTGTCACATTCTAATTCTTTACAACATATCTACAAAATAAACAAGATAATTTCAAAAAAATTTAAAATACAATTTACTTTATCTCTATAAACTATACGTCATTACCACCTATATATTTGGCCGATCGTTGGTCAAAATTCAACAGCTCCTGCAGTTCACGTACAATCTCCATTGCTTCGTTACTCGTAGCCTAGGTAAGTGTTTCCAATATCTCAATTGTAATATTTGTATACGAAACATTTTATTATTTTCTGACAAGACGAAATATTTTGTAGAAAAATGACAAGGTGGTTGTTTATGGTGGTATGCCTTGGCATAGTTTGTCAAGGTACGACAGGCAGCATTCTTCGTAGTGAATCTTTAAACAAATCGTTACCCGTCCTTCACGAATGGAAATTCTTTGATTATGATTTCGGTAGCAATGAAAGAAGAGAAAATGCAATTCTATCTGGCGAATACGACTACACGAAAAATTATCCATCCGACGTTGATGAATGGCATGGTAAATTATATCATAAAATATTTTAATATTGCATTTTATTTTTATCAAAATTCTTAATATCCAATAATTATAATTTAAAAAAATATTAAACATTTTTCATTTCTTATTCAAGGTAAGATTTTCGTCTCCATGCTAAGATATAATGGCGTACCTTCTTCTTTGAACGTGATATCTAAAAAGATCGGTAAGGGTGGACCTCTTCTACAACCTTATCCCGATTGGTCGTTTGCTAAGTATGACGATTGCTCTGGAATCGTGAGCGCTTCCCAACTTGCGGTAATTGAACATTGTCTTCACAATTCTATGATTATCTTAACAATTAATTTTCCAAAGAAAAAGAAAATTCATTCGTTATGTGATATTTAGATTGACAAATGCGACAGATTGTGGGTTCTGGACTCAGGTCTTGTTGATAATACTCAAGCCATGTGTTCTCCAAAACTGGTCACCTTTGATCTGACTACCTCGAAACTGCTCAAGCAAGTTGAAATACCGCATAATGTTGCCGTAAATACCACCACAGGAAATGGAAGACTATCATCTTTAGCTGTTCAACCTTTAAATTGCAATATAAATGGCGATACTATGGTAAGTTTATAAATTATACAAGTAAGCAATTTTCTTTTCTTGGAAATTTTTCATTTCACTTTTGTGTTATTTTCTAGTAAATAATGAATAATTCATATGGAAATATAGCTTTAAATTAGAAAAGTAATATTGTAAAATAATGAAACTTTTAAAATAGTATTTTTTTAAATAATTCTATCTGAAATTTAAGAGAAAGAATTAGAATGTTTCTTATATACTACTTTGCTTTTATATAAAAAAAAAAAATGATTTTGTAGTTTTCTTTGATGCTTTCTTTGGTAATCTTTCTCTCTATATATATGATATTAGATTTTTCGATAAATCATTAGTTTTTGAAACTAAAATTGAAAAATATTAACAAAAATGAATGTATTTTCGATGTTTTTTTATTTAAATATATTTATGATTATATGTTGATATTTTGTTCAAAAGAATTAATTTTAACGAGCAATATTAATGAATATTCCAAAGATATAAAATATATTTTTCAAAATCGAAAAATTACAATTTTCTGAGAGAAATAGACTGCATCCTTTTCAACGCATTAATAAAAATTTATAAAAAAAACATCTATGAAAGTTACAAAATCAAAAAAAAGTTGAAATTTATAAACAACGTTATTAATTACAATATAATCATACCATAATAATGATGATACAACAGGTGTATATAGCAGACGAGAAAGGTGAAGGTTTAATCGTGTATCATAATTCTGATGATTCCTTCCATCGATTGACTTCCGACACTTTCGATTACGATCCTAAATTTACCAAAATGACAATTAATGGAGAAAGTTTCACAATGCAAGATGGAATTTCTGGAATGGCTCTTAGTCCCTTGACTAACAATCTCTATTACAGTCCTGTAGCTTCTACCAGTCTGTATTATGTTAACACGGAACAATTCAAAACATCCAATTATCAGAAGAATGGCGTACATTACGAAGGGTAAATATAAAATTAAGTTTACTTTTAAATAGAGTGTTACTATATTCAGTGGAGAAATGATTTCTAAAATTTCTAAAATTTAACATTTCCCAACTTATGTGAATCATAACTATAATATAATTTTAAGTATTTCTAATTAAAAATATTAAAATAATGAAACATTGTTAAATGAAACAAAGCTAAAAATATAGAATTGTGTCTTTGCTAATGCAAATTTAAATTACTTACAATTTAATAAATAAAACTTGAAGTTATTATACAATACAATATTTCCTGTAGCTTTTAGAATCAATATCACAGATATGTTGCATTTTTTTATTTAATTCCACATTTTTTACTAATTCCAGAGCCCAAAATATTTTGGATACCCAATCGTCCGCTAAAGTAGTATCGAAAAATGGCGTTCTCTTCTTTGGACTGGTGGGCGATTCAGCTCTTGGCTGCTGGAATGAACATCGATCACTTGAAAGACATAATATCGTTAGTAACTGCAAATATTTTTTATTTTTTGTCATATTTTCTTGTCACATTTCTTTTACATGCTACTAAACATGACTTCTCATATGAGAACAAAACATCCACTACTAGATTTGACAGAGAAACAAGTCACGTGATACGATGTAACGTTTGTCTTTGATCACGTGACGTACCTCTATGTAGTGTAGTGGGGATAATGTGAATTATTTTTCATGCAGGAATATAGTGTAATGTTAGTAGTAAAAGAAGAAATGTCTTTATATTAGTACGTCTTTTCTCTTATATATATATATTAATAATATTTTCGTTTTCATTTTCTAAAATTATGTTTATAGTAATTATATTTTAATCATCCAATTGAAATGTTTACAATTACTTTGAATTGATTAGAATTTGCATTTTTGGTTAAATTAATAAGAAATATTTCAATTTGATCGAAATTCGATAATTGGATTAAAAATTATTTAATATGAACGCGGTTTTAGAATTTCTGTAAATTGAGTTGACAATATATATTTTTTAGAAAAGAATATAAATAATAAGAAAACTATTTTGAAATTACAGCGTACCGTCGCTCAAAATGATGAGACACTTCAAATGATCGTTGGCATGAAGATTAAGGAAGCGCTTCCACATGTGCCTATATTCAATAGGTATATAAACAGTGAATACATATTAGTTTTAAGTAACAGAATGCAAAAAATGGTGAATAATGACTTTAACTTCGATGATGTAAACTTCAGAATTATGAACGCAAATGTAAACGATTTGATATTGAACACTCGTTGCGAAAATGCTAATAATGATCAAACACCTTTCAAAATTTCAATACATTTGTAAAATTTGTCTTTCTCGATATGTACTAAATATTTTTCGAAATTTATTTTCATTATGAATGTATAAAATAAATATTATTTTCGCATAATATTTTTCAATTTTATTACTACCTACCTTTTAAAAATTATAACCATATAAAAATTAATACTTGTATTTATATTATATTATATACTTGTATTATATTATATTATATTCGATGAATGAGCGATTGAATATAATATTGCGAGTTAAATTCAAATAATTTAAAAATACAGTAATAATGTAATTGATAATGAAACATCAAATCTGAAAAAAAATGGAATCACATTACATTTCTAACCAGTCTAATAACACTTTTTCCAAATTTTATATAACAATTATAATAATTTTAAATACAATTATAATTTTAAAATATTTCATCAATTTTTAAAAAATTATTTTATCAGTATTTCATTCTTGGCTGTTTTTTTCTTTCTCTTCATTTAGTTTACTAGAATGTAAACATAATGAGAAAAAGATTTCTTATGAGTAAAATAAAAAAAAAAAAAAAATAGAAAAAAAAATTTTTCTTCTATATTATGTATTTTGATTAACACTTTGTTTATCACTCATAATTAAGATTATCATTTGTTAATGAAGGATTGCCAAATATATAAATATCCTATACAACTATTTCTCCATTATTAAAAATGGCAAAAACTAAATCATATCACACTTCACTTGCTTCTATTAATGTAAAAGTGGAGATAATGACTTAGTGACTTAGTGTATTTTCCAAATTTGTTAAAGAGAGAAATTAAGCTAATTTCAATAGTAGAGTATTTTGAAGTAGAAAAATTAATATTTTCAAAATTATAAGCAATAAAAAACAAATTTTGATACAATTGTTAAAATTTATTTCATATCTCCTTAAATAAAAAACTATTTACAGTTTATTAATGATTAATAGTATTCTTTTTATGATTCTTTTAATGATATTCTTTTACTAATATTAGTATTTTTTTTATTTATTATTGAATATTATTTAGATAAAATATTGATATAGAATATATTCATGGAACACTTTTAAAGATTCAAAAAAAAGTCAATATTTATTTATAAAGTTATAAAGAATTTGAGTTTGTATTAAATAAAAATATACATATTTCATTTTTTTGCCATAATCAAACATTAAATTGTTTATTACTTAATAAATAAACTTTAATATTTTTATAAACATCGACTTTTATTTCTTTTGAAACTTTAAATCAACTCTCTATATTAATACTATTCATATATTAAACAAATGTATATAGCAGACAATAAGTGATACGTAGATTATTAACAATTCTGAGGATTCCTTTCAACATTTTTAATTATAATTTTAAATATGATATATTTCTGGATCATGGAGAAAATTTTCCAAAAAAATATGGAATTTTGAATTATATTTAAACAATGGAACTTGTAGAATTACAAGATCAAAAAAACAATTTACAATATTAGTAAATATGATAATAATTTATATTTAATTCAAAGACCAGAATATTTTTCGACTCAAAAAAACATTAAAGCGATGTTTAAAATATTGTTAAAATATTGTTTATAATATTGTTTTTTTTATGGATTTATAAATGATATATTTACTATATAGCTGGAATAAGTATCAATTATTGATAAAAGAGAATATATATTATTAATTATTATATTATTAATTAACATAATTATTATATTATTAATATTTTCTATATATATTTTTTTTTCTTTTTTAATAATTCTACAATTTTTGTGTGCTGTACGAAATTATTTATATTAGATATAAATAATATATATATTATTTATTTATATTATATTTTTTCGAAATGATCGATGTTAAATTAATAAAAATCATGAATAATAAAAGTTCTTCCAATTTCAACAGTTCGATCATCAAAAATTAAACTACTTAAATTTTTCAATGTTAAAAATTTAAGCTCCTTTTTAATTTAAGCACACATAAAAATTCATACAAATTTTAATCAACATGTTTCTTACACCGCTATTTAAAAAAAAAATTTTTTTTGATTATATTAATTTTATACAATATGATAAAAATGTAGAAAAAGATAAGAAATGTTAATCAATTTTGTCAAATACAAATAAGTTTCGTGAAAATTAATGTTGTAATTATAGTTACAAATGATAGTAGATGACTAGCGTCACGTGATTATTAATTAATAATATATTTAATTTATATTATAACTAACATAACTATTTATATATTTTTGAATTTCTTTAATTATTTCTTTTTTACTTTAAATAATCTTTTTTTACTTTAAATAATCTAAAAATATTATAATTTTTCTACAAATATAAGAAAATATAGTATTTTGATCGTCGTATAAAAATTAAACACGCGCATTTATGTCACGTATAATAGCAAACATGTTATGTCATCGAATTGACCATCAACATTTGATAGAAACAATTTGATGGGAACATATTTGATGGGAAGAAAGATAAATAAAATTAAAATATTTGTGAAATTACAAAATATGATTCTTCAAGATATTAGTAGTTTTAATTTAACATTAAGAAATTTTTTTTTTCTTTATTAATTTTTTGTATTTGCTCATTATATATAAATATGTGCTGGTCATAAGTAATAAATATGAAAAAATATCAAATGTCAATTTAAGTTCTAACTTTCGAATTTTGAATACAGAATACATCATTATATAAGATCAATCTACATAACAAATCATCAAATTCTTTATAATATTCTCTTGGGTCATATCTATATTAATCTTGTCTAAATTGTTAATTTCTAAATAAATTAAATAAGCTTCATTTTCTTCTTTAATTAGATTATTTTTAAACAATTACTTTTCACACTTTCTCTTAGAACTAAATATCCCCATTAATAATTCCTTCGAACTATAAAGATAAATATCTGGTTGACAGAACGGACAAAAAAAAATTTTGTAAAATTTTTAAACTATTTTTCTA